GGCCGGGCTTGCCGCGGAGACGTGAAGAGCAGGGCTTTGCCTCTGCCGGGCTGACTTACCGACTCCCCGGAGAAATGCCGTTTCGCCGGTGGCTGGTGACGGCCGGAGTTGGGTGCACACCGGGGCTGTGCTGCCGTTGCCTCTTCGGGACTGGAGAGCTGCCCCCAAAAACCACTGGGTCAGCCAGTAGGGTTTTAGTGATTAAACAAAATTGCTGCCAACAGCTCTGAGTTACAAAAAAAAAAAGTAATCTGGAGGTGGCCCAGGTCTACGTTGGAGAGGGCTGGTTATTGGTAAGGAAAGGGAATCTGAATTGCCCATTGCAGCATCCTCCTGCTTGGATCGCTATAGAGCTGTGGTTCCCTCTGACCACTGGTTTTGGAGAGCAGCTGGCAAGGCCCCATAAAGGCAGCCTGGTGCTCCTGGGGTCTGGAGAAACCCCTCAACAGCCCCACAGCCGGTTTGCTCGCCTGGCCAAGCTCACGCCGACACGTTTGGGGCAGGCTGGCCCGGGCTGATGGAGAGGGCTCCTTCCTCCGGCAGCAGACGTTCCCGTCTGCCTATCGCGAAGGTGCCTTAGGCTCCAGCCGTGCTCTTGATCTCCCCACTGCTACACCTCGGGTACGGGGCTTTTCCCGGGGCTTTTGGCGTTTCCTATTGAAGAGCTCAGCAACTGGGGAGCTGCATACACTGTGTCGGGGCCAAAAGCACAGTTTCCTGATCCACGAAAGGATTCCAGGGCAGTGAAGACTGAGAAGGAACGGGGTGTACTGGGATCTGATCCTTGGGACAAGTTGCAGCAAATCCCAGGAACTCGCAGCCCACATGCGACCGCGGGGATCCCCTCCTCACCCACGGGGAGCTGCACCCACGGGCAGGAGGACAGGAAAGCCCTCAGATCTTCCGAATTACACCAGAGAGGCTGAGCTGAGGGCAGAGACATGACACGGGCCACACGGTTCCGCGAGAGCGCCCTGAGGAGTCTGCAAGTCCTTTGGGACGCCGGGCCAGCTCTCGTGGGGAGCGCGGGAGCAGGACACATACAGCACGGAGGCAAGCCTTGGAAGGGGGTTAGCGCAAAACGCACGCTGCCAAGTAAATAGATGCGTCTGCCTCTGATTTGCATGTTTATCTTAGAAGCAATTTAGGTTTCTCCTTGTTTACAAGAGTGGAAGTCAGCAGACTCTTAGAACAGGAACAACAACTGGGAGCCAACATGTGACAGTTGTCTCCTGTTCCCCAGCGCATCGGAGCGGCCGTCGCTCGCGGGCTGTTGGGAAAGAGCTTCAGCTGCGCCGGTGGATGCGCCCGTGCAGGAGAGGTACTTGCAGAGAGGAGGGAGGCTGGCGGGCAGCGAGGAGCACTTTACCTGCTTTACCTCGCGGGCTCTGAAGACGCTCGCCTGTGTTGACGAAGTCTCCGGCCTCTGCTGGGGCTGCGCAATCGGTCCTTGCAGGGAATCGGGAGGGGAGGGCAGAGGTACGGTGCCACGCGTGGCAGCACTGCGGCTCGCACCCACCTCCTGGCAGCAGAACTCTGGGAGCAAATGGGAAATAATGCGGCAAGTGGGAAATACAGCAAGCTTGCGATTGCAGGCAGTGGGAAGAAGTAAACGGTGCAGCATCACGCAGCCAAAGTCGGCCGGAGGGATCGGTGCCAGTCCCTCGGCATGAGCTGAGCAAACAGGCGATGGAAGAGCTTTGCAGGCACTGCCGGAGGGCCTCGCAGGAGGCAGCATCCCATGGAATCCCAACTGACAGAGTGGGGGATCGTTATCCCCACGCGCACTTAATTGCTAACTCCCTCCCAGCTCTCCCTCGCCGCCGCCTGCCCGGCGCTCGCGGGCTGCTCCTGCCTCGCTCCTTCTGACCACGCGATGTCCAGCCCCGAGCAGCCTCCGGCATCAGGAGCAGTTCCCTCTCACAGACTTCTCTGAACTCAAGGCTTGGGTGGTTGTTTTTTTTTTCTGCTGTAAAAATGCAGATTCCCCAAGAGTACAGCATTTCACAGAAATTTGCCACTTCCAGCACAATTCATTTTTAAAAATGAAGTTCTGATAAAGCAGCTGGGGACTTCTCGGAACATCCATTGTCTTTCCTATTTCAGTGTTTTTAAACTGCCATAGATTTTTTGAAATAAAATCGGAAGGGATGCTTTAATCAATCCAAAACAAATGTTTGGGTTTTTTCCCTCCCAAAATTCTGCTTGGCAGAATTTTCTGATGTTCCTCGTCTCGCTCCATTTCAGAGTAACTGAACCCAACTGGAGCATTTCTCACGAAATGGAAGATCTCGGTCCTGCCGAGATAACCGCAGCCTTTCCAAGACACGTGAGGAATTTTCCCCCTTGTTGTGCCGTGCCACTTTCCAACGCCACAGCGATCATGGGACGCATTTCAGTACGTAACCTCGGATGGAGCCTGTAGGTACTGCAGCGAATACGCTGCTTGTTCGCAGCGCCCGGCCCCGGCGGGGCCCTGGGACCCTGCGCAGCGAGGGGCTCCCGCGGCGGTCGCTGCCCTCCGCGCTGCTCTCCTTCCACTTTCTCCTGCTGATAGTGTTTGCTCTGATCTGGGTATTTGGCAGGAGAATTAACGAGAAGTAATTAGCTCTCAGTGTGAAAAAGGGAGTGCCTGGTGTTTATCTTGTCTGGAGGGTTTTCCTTGATCTCAGTCTCCCAGGGGATGGGGTCAGTCAGGGCTTTATCTGCCGCTCTCCCGTCGTGGGCGCAGCTCCTCGGCCAACGCTGCTCACAGCCCACCGCCGGTACCGGGGACCAGTGCTGCAGCGCTGGAGGCAGC